AGAAGAAGCTCCGAAAGGAATCGCAAGTGAGGCGAGTAGAACTTGGACGGTCGGGATCGCAAGCGAAGCGACAAAACCCCTCCCGTTGTGCAAAAAGATATTCACAGGTATTGATCATATATTTGAATACAGTTTATGGCCTCGCTACCGAAAAAATCGCATGTAATGTAAACGTGAACCTGTTCAGAAAGTCAAACGACGACTATTTAACGTAAAAAGCTCTTTTCTGGTTGCCGGCTAATGCCGTTTGGACTCCAGAAATTTCGGCACCGAGCTCATTTTTAAATTGCCTAAGTCACCAAATCCGCTAAAAACTTGTATATAGGGGTAGTTTAACATCCTGATTACGAATATGACATTCACTCTTGTCGCTGGCGCTAATGGATGACACTACGATTACCTCCTGGGCTCAGCCTTAGCAGAGCGCAGATAATCGTAGTGTCATCCATTAGCGCCAGCGACAAGAGTGAATGTCATATTCGTAATCAGGATGTTAAACTACCCCTACATACAAGTTTTTAGCGGATTTGGTAACTTAGGCAATTTAAAAATGAGCTCGGTGCCGAAATTGCTGGAGTCCAAACGGCATTAGCCCTGGCTGCCGAGGTTGCCAGTCATACGCGAGGTTGCCATTCATACAGCTACCAGTCGAAAGATAGACACATTTCCCTGGAAAACTACGGATTTATGAGAGAGCCACTTGTGACTACGAGAAAATCAGAATAGGGCCTAACATCGTTGAAGAATTCGTATTAGAGGGTTTGTAGCGAACGATGGGGCTGTAGTTGAGTTGGTGGTGATCACTTTTAAGATAGTCGCCATTAAGATGGTAGGATGTTTCGGTGGTATTTTTGGTTCCAGGCTCATTCAGCCCCGCTCTAACAGAAAAAAATATGAGATTTTCCCCAATAGAGGGAGTGGATTATTGATCGTATTGAAAGGGAAGGGAGCCGTACTGACCACGATATATTTCTCATCCCCCCGAATTTCACCGATTCAAAACTCGAATGGAAATTTCTCCACGTAGAGAGACAGTTAAAAGGCCCTCAAGGTGAGTTTGACCGCTCTAAAGCGATCTTCTCTCGAAATGAAAGCAATGACCCGCTGTGATTTTATGCAAGATCG